ATTTCTTTCTTTCTATCCTGTCCTTCTGTCTACTTTTCCCCAGGCAAGAGTCTTTATCCCACCTCTAGATAGGTGAACTCAGGGTCAGAACTCAGCATAGAGCCCACATTTCTGATCTCCTCAACTCTGATCACTCATCAAGGTCCACCAGGTACAATTTTCCAAAAAGCTGCATTTGAAAAAGTCCCTTAAATCCCTTCAGGGCTTAAATTTTTCTCTTTAAGAGGGTGGGCAAGGGCCCTGGGGAGATACATCAGGCCATGACTGCATTTGATTTAGCTCTGTTTATATCCCATGGCATTAAAGCATTAAAATATCTCTATCCTTTTTATATCATACAGATATGTTTAATCTCTATATGATTATCAAAAATTTTCAATCAGTAGGGTAAAAGGTTGCTCCGACTGTTTCTCAATCAGTTTACATGTATGTAGTTAGAAGCATGTTTGACATCATAGTCAGACTTGAATGCACAGCAATGAAAATCTGGGGATTGAGATTTACAGAGTGTTGGCACAGCGCGTCTGTTTTCAAACAGGGACAGCTGCAACAAGAACAAAACATCTGCTGCAGTGCTAACATAAGCATACCTCGCTCCCGTACAGTCATGCCTGAGCAGCCTCTAAACCGGACAGCACCGAGTATGACAACTTCTTGATGAAGTTTCTACAACTGTGTTCATCATGCTGTCACTCACAAAGTACATGTTCACACCTCGACTTGAAGAGAAATTAAAAACAAGTGAGCAATATTTTTTCCCCTCAAAGAACAGCCTGAGTTTTAGAGCCGATCTGGCTTCTTGTCTGACTTGGGTAAACTTCTAGATACTTCTGCAGTCTGTGTGAGCCCAGGCCATCTGTAGTTTCTGTCAGTGCCTCTCTAATTCTTTAATTCTTTGTTGAACAGAAAAAAGGAGGAATGTTTATATCAGCTCAGATGGAAGGGTGCAAGCTCTCTCAGCATCACTGATAACATGGCAGCACTGTTCTCTCTGGTCGGCAATGTCTGCTTCACACCTTCTCCCTTTTCTGTCTGCATTCAGGCCTTTTCGCAGCTAGCTGGAGCTCGGCCAGCCTGAGTCATTTCGTCCCATTATGCGGTACTGTAAAAAAACAGCTGCTCCCATTCCACACTGGTGAATAGGTTAAATGGTGACACAAGGAACAGGCCCTTTTTTGTCGTGGTCTAAACTGACAGACAACGGGCTCTGGGGGTTCCACTGCCCCTTCTCGGATGCCTTCCAGCTCCATTGCTTTTGATTTCCAATTAGTGGCCACACAGTCTTACAGTCATTTTAGAAACAACCCTCTGTGTGTGTGTGTGTGTGTGTGCACATTCATGGATGTGTTTTTGCTGAGAAGGAAGGGCTAACAACTCCAAAAAATTGAAATATATAGTGGGCATGTTATGATCTATATACAGAGCGCTGTAAAATTAAAGGGAACAGAATAGATGCCCAATGCACTGGCTACGTTGAGGGCATCGCAATACAGTTTGAAAAATGATTGCTTTTAGCTTGTGCTGTCCCAGATCAAGGTGGATCTCCCATTTATTGTGATCTCTGTGTATAAACAGATGAGTATACACTTTGAAAATAAGCAGTAAGGTTTAATGAACATAATGTATCAAAGACACTGACGACTTTTTTAGAGGAAATAATTGCCTGAAATCGTAAAGGTTATTTTTAGGAGTAAATTCTTCAGTTCAAACAATTACAAGATACTGTATTCACAGTATACTGTATAGGGGATGTAAGTGCACTTGTAAAACAAATTTCTAATAGCAAAATGAAATATATACAGTATATACATACTGATGATACTCTAAACCAGAAATGTCACATTTTACAGTACAGACAAGTTGAGATACTTAAAATGTTTACATCCAGTACAAATCTAGAATAACAGTTATGTCTTTACCAGAAACTGAACTAAGAGCTAGATCAGAAAACAGTGAATCATTTCTAAGACACCGACTCCCACACTAGAGGCTTATAGGCTGGATTCAGCTGCAATCATTGGACTGAATTCCGAGTTATTAGTACATGTGGTCATGGTTGGATGTCACAGATCAAACACACCAGCTCCTTTGCTTCCCCTAAATACAAAGTTGTTCCTGCCTTGGTGCACTGACTGCTATGTGATGAATGAGGAAAGTCAAGACCGGCTATGTCAAAAAGAATCTCCCTCGAGGAAACTGATGTCCTTGTCCAAAAGCTGCAATGTCTCAAAGGACTGAACATACAGCACCCAAATATCCCACCAAGGACAAATGATGTGTCTTTTAGTTTAATCCGAGTGTAATTTCTGTCAACAAGTTTTATTTGCACACAAAAAAAGATGTGCTTTTATGTCAATACATTAACCAAGACGAGCTGCAGTTTAAGATGTTGACTGGTTGAAAGAATCTTTTGTTAGTTTAGCCCAGAACAGTCTTTTACAGGGTGCTACCATCTCTTTTAATGTTATATCACTTGATCAGCTTTGGCACATGCACAGCTTATTAGTTCCAGATGCACATGCGTAGCTTTTGTGCACTGTATTGGTGGGGTCACATATCTTAAGTATAGCAATTTTTGTAGTCTTTTTTGACATTGTAAATGTGACTTGAGAAATTTGTTGTACGGTTTCAAAGTCTTATGAATTGCAAAAACATTCCAACATGCCCAACCTATTTTCCTACAGGAAATGTGATAGAAAGCTATAGCATTCTCAAGGAAAAATTGCCTAATAAAACTTTCACAGCACATACAACAGAGCTACCTCTTACATCTGGAAACAAACTCGAAGGGTTCACGGTGTGGCTGCCAGTTACTCATCATAGCATAGCCATTTCTGCCTTGTTGCAACAGTTAGTCAACGAAAAGCTTCACAAAACTGAGTTCATGCCTTTACTAAAACCCATGTCTGAGCAGTTACATGCTCACTATGTCACATCACAGAGGCTTTTTGTAATTCCCCCAACACTGACCACTCCAAACACCCCCCAAATCCCTCTTGTCAATAAAGAAAAGACAACATGAACAACGGACTTCTCGGCTTTCCTTTGCCTTGTCAAAAGTTTCCATATTGTGTTGCGGGTTCTACAAAGCATAACTAAGACCCTGGAAGCAGCTTATCTGCTTAAAACAGGAGGGTGAGAGAGGGTGAAAAAAGTGTGTCCGTCTTCTATCTTATTCCCGGTTCAGAGACTGGGTTTATTGAAGCCACCAGAGCTTTGGCTTCTCCCTTTAGATTCCCCGTCACCATCCCTCCTAGTCTAATCCACTTAGGCCCATGCTACCTCCACTAGTTTTGATTGGCCAGGCTTCCAAATTTCCACTGCATGACAGAGGAAAAAAATCACTATCAACACAAAATGTGAATAGATTACAGTAAGAGAAATGTGGATTGTGTTGAACTCCAAAACTGTTTTGGCATGAATGGCGTAGAAAACTTTAGAAGTCATTCCTGACAGAGTAGAATCTGGATATTATATAAAGTATGGTTCTCCACTATAATTTTTGTCATTTGTATCCATGTTTATGTATCACATTTAAAATGTCTCTTTTCCATTTTAAGTGCCTTTCCACATTGTTTCATTTGCGTCTTCATCTCTCACCCTCACTACCGAACAACATTGATGCTAATGTCATCGAAACCCCAGGTGCTTCTGGTGGCTCTTGAAGTCTGACATCAGTCCCTGCAATCCCCTCCCATGGGTCCAATTTCCCTGGCATGAAGCTTCAAGGTCCTAAGTTGAGCTCTCTGTTTAGCAACAACAGTAGCAGCGAGTGCGAATGTGTGTCAGAGAGAATGCTAATGACTGTCCCAGAATCTGAACCCCGGTTTTCTGGCCTGAAAATAGATTTGCTCTCATGTCCAAAACAGATATTGCAATCACATTCCCCCACCACTGATTGCCTTGGGGATTTGCTGCATGCACACCAAAAATGTAAATGAATGCAGGGGGATAGACATGATCAGTGATAAATCACATTACCACAAATTCTGCTTAGCAACACAACTAGACTGCACTGTAAGCAATGGCAATGCAGAATTAGTCCTGAGTCTACCATTTCCATCACACAACACTCACTTGTTGTCAGTTCACTTCTATTTCCTTGTTTTATAGCACATTTACAAGAAAACTGTACTTCAGAAGAGGACATTCATAAGGGGACCACTTTCAATATTAAAAAAAAGTCTGCTATAATGGAAATCCAGTACATATTTTTCAGGCTGCCAGGGAGTTGGTACAGCAAAATGGAGAAAAGAGCAGGCCTTATAATATCCCTCTCTATAAATCTCTGGAGATATGAATGTCAGGTAGCAGTGACACAGTGAAGATGTGGCTAAATTTAGCTGGGTTTTTTTCAGCACAGTGGTTCATTGTTTGTGCCAGGGCCACCCTAAGGTCTTTGTGGGGACTGCGGGAGTGCCATTTTATTATGCCGTTGGAACCCTGGAAGTCGGCTGTCAAACTAACAAGCAACAAGGGAAATGTAGCAAAGGTCAAAGCACACAGGGCAAGAGATATCTGAGGGCTACTAAATTACCTCAGAGACACATGGAGAGAGGGGAACACCTTGGTGTACACTATGTTTTTGTGAGCACATTTGTTTGTTTGGTGGTTATGTTACACTGCTACAAAAAAAGGGCCATGAATTTTAACTATTAGATAAGGTTCCTGCTCATGCTGCTTCCTTCTTGCCCCCACCCTCAACATCTTGAAACTGACAAATATTAATGTAAGTTGTGCAAACTCTGAATCCGCGGGGGACACTATCTCAGACGTTTTGTGTCTCTCAATTAATAAATAATGTCCCTCTCTTGACAGGGACTATTCTTAAGCCCCAGTCGGTACAGTACTGGGACACCATCATTTTTCAGCGGAGCCAGTGACAGCCTCAGCCTGCACTGAAGTTTAGTTTGCTTTGCATTGTAATTTGCTGACGTTTCTTTTCTCTCTTTCACTCCTTCTTATTTTCCCCTTTCCCCTGCTCTCTCTCTCTTCCCCAGATGTGACCAACTAATCCACACTAGGTAAGACTCAGTTCATTTCTCATAGCATTGTTCTCGAGAGTGCGAGTCACGTTTGAGTTGTCATGTGTCTTTGAGAGTGATGGGAATGCATAAATATGGACGAGGGTTGAGACAGGGGGAGGAGTCCAAGCGGCACCAAGATGCTGCTATTTGCTCAGTAACGTAGGCAATGCTCTGGAGTTCTCTCTTATCCCATTTTCCCAAATGTGTGCATGAGAACACACAATGGCAGCTTTATCTGGCAAGCGGATTGTGTGCTCTGTGGCTTCAATTTGAATTTTATTCAAATGAGAATCAAAGAGCCCAGATTGTTCAAAGAACATGCTGGAAGTGTTGACTTAAACAAGCATAGCACGGATGGTGTCTGTATCCACGCTGTTGTGTGTGGGTGAAAATATGTCTCATGTTAAGCTGTGAACTCTTTAACCGTTCCCAACTCCACATATCCACATGAAACCCCTGGTACAATGAACACCGACAGTGTCCACCCAGCGACATAGCCTGAGATGTCCCGTTCTCAGGGGATGACAAACACGTCTAATGTCCACCTAATCATTTTCTCACTTTATACTCATATTGTTGATGGCACATTTCTTCAACATCCTTCTTTATTTGTAAGTTCAATAGATGTAAAGCACTTTCACATAGGCAAGTCAGTCCAAACACAGAAGCGGTTTACCCACAACATGTTGGAATCTAAATGTCATTTCTGAACTAAGGTGTAATCTTAGTTAAGTCCAACTAACAAGCTGGCGAGTTATTCGATGAACTCTAATGCACTCCTGGGCTCTCAGAGCATGCTCTGTACTATACGTCTGCAGGAACTTTTAACTACTGTAGGAAAGTTTAGGAGAGGTGCACTTTTTACTTCTGTTTGGCTTGCATGAATCATGTTCCCCTCAGCTGTGCTCATGCAGCTCTTAACCACGATGGCCATTGCTCCTTATGTCAGGACGGCACTAATCATTTTTCCTTATGCTGGTGGTAGAGAGCTGCATTTTGTTGCACAAGTACCATATAAACAATCCACAAATTGTCTCATCAGTAAACAAGGCGGACAGCAGATCAGCATGTGTAAAGAAACGGGGCACATGTGAACAACTGTTTTGCCTCTTGTTTAAACAAACCACCCCAGTGTGAAAATGACCCTAGACCAGTGTAGCATCCTGTGTTTTGTCAGGCTGTTTCTAGAGGCAGTCAGCTGGCTGCAAGAGTGTGATAGAGGTCAAGTTCATGACTGAATCCACCATAGCAGGGCCTCAGACCATGACAGCAGGGCCACTCAGCACTGCCCATCCGCTCATGGGGGAAAAATCAATCATCTCTTCTCCTAGGTGGAGCCAATGTATTGAACAAATGAGAAAGCTGGCACAACTTGATGTTACACTTACTTGGCTGATGTTTTGTCTCAGATACATAGTTCTTCTCAACACAATTGATTTTTCATACTTGGACAGTTTTGGGAGACTGCCACTTCATTGTGTAATTGAAAACCTAGTGCCATGCCACTACACAAGCACAGTCTGGCTACCCAGCAGAGCAGCTGCAAGCAGTTCTGGTCCGGCTCTCAAATCTTTGAGGCAGGCACTGGCTGACTGCACGGAAAGAGAAAACCCCTAGCTAGCTGAGAATAATAAGTACCCATGGGAAGCTGCCAGATGGACATTTACTGTGAGCCTAGCAGGAGAGGGAGAAATCTGTCAAACATCACACTAGGCATCTGTGGGGGAGCAGTGCAGGTTCACGTCCACTGTCGGATAAGAGGAGTATTCTTTGTCAAGACTAAAAGCCGTTAGATTTTTAACATATCACGTGGAGTTGATGCATTTACCTCCTTTCAAGGTCAGCAGTTCATATTACATTAAAGCCAAATGTTACACCGAACACTTTAAATAATGTCTAGATAATGGAAGCTTTAAAGATGTTTATCATATGATAGTAGTGGCCATTGCAGATATGGTCACTAAGTGCTGTGCAGTAAGCTTCTTCTTCACTTAACTTTATTTCACATTTTTCAGTAGATATTACCTCAACTAAATTTGCAAGCAGAGTTTGCTGTGTTGCTGATGTGAGGAAATATATTTTAATTTCTGGTTTATAGTTTTGTGGAAATTTTCAGACATTTCCCTCTGCAAGGTTGTTCTTAATCTCTCTTAAATTTTGGTACAGGCAGTTGCTGCTGTCCCTGTCACAGAATAATAACTCAAAAGCATATTTCTGCCTTAGAAATCATTGAAGCCCAGTCTTTTGATTTCTAAATGTCCAGTTTATTTTCATACACAGATCAATACAAAGCTATAGGCCAACTGGCTTGTTATGCTATTGGAGGCTTGAGGACTTCAGAGCTGGTACAGGGAGAATGAGTTCATCCCAGTACCGTCAACAGAGTTAGAACCTCGGTTCTCTTAGCTGTGTATCAGTTATTATTATTGCATTATGTCTGGCAGCCCTCCTCTCAGACAGGAACTGAGCCACACTTGATCAGTGATATGAGACTGGCACAGAAGACAGTGATGTCTGGCTGCTCAGCTAAGCAAATACCATTACGCTGTTCAAGTCTAAAAGTAGATCTGTGCTTGGTAAAAATTATGAAGGCTGGCCTGGACACTATCCCAAACACTGATAGCTTTGTAATACTCAGGAGTCACTTTTTTTTCTGAAATGGGTTTGCTCTATTCATCTTTCAGAAGACAAACAATGCTGTTTATGGATAATACAACAACACTTTCAAGACTCCATCTGGGTTCCTCTTACACCGGAAACATGTTGTATTACAGTACATACTGTTCAAAATACCATGGACAAGAAAAATAATTAATATCACATGGTTTTTCACAGCTGTGTCCATTCTGTATAATTTAGTTTTGTTTATAATGGTGTTGTCTTCCTGCTCTTTAAACAGAGTGCAGGTCAAGTCAAACGTGTGTGTAACAGAATATACAGTATGTTTTAGCAATCATCTTAGCTTCCCAGCCCTCACAGGGATGCTTGTATGGAGAGCAAGTGAGCAGTCATAATCCCAAACCATGAGAGAACAACCAGAGCTAGCGCCTGTGGTGGGTCTAAATGGTAGCATTTTCTTTCTTTTAGCTCTGTCCTCTGGGTAATGGGCCATTTCGCTAATGGTGACTCTGTCAAGCATGTGTCAGAAAACCTCCTGGCATTATCACAAGCTCTTGAGGGAGCTTCAAGTTGGTATATGTTGATTTTTACCCTAGTTTCCAAAAACCAACTACTGCTGAGTGAGTTCTTAATAAGAAATGTTCTTACTAAGATAGCTAATGGCTTGTTAGCATGATCTAGCATACCTTCTACAGTAATTAGACTTGAGTGTTCACGTTTACAGTCACCTCTGAGATATCCACTTACAATGTTTTATGTTAGCAGCTCACTCATTATGTCAGATCATCACACATGTGACTATCCACATACAGATGCTTTAAAGATGGTGTGTAACAGCAATTTAGGCAGAAACACCACACATATCTGTGTACACTTGAATGCGCCCATCTCTCCAAGTGAAGCTGGACTGCTGTTATGAACAGATGGCTTATCTTTAACTTTATCAACGTGGCACTGTCACCCACAAACGCGATAAGTTGCTCCAGTGCCTGGGGAGAGTGGCATCCATCAGTAGCTAACAGCATATGGTGAAGGCACATTAAGGTGTCTTCTATCTCTTCCCCTGCCTTCCTTTTCTATGAGTAGTTTTGTGGCCAAGCGTCAGATGCTCACTTCACAGGACAAAGTGTGTGTGTTCGAGTGTGGGGTTATGTGCTGACAGGGACTGTGTGCCCAATTTTAGATTGTGTGCTTCCTGTCGGAGCTGTTTTATGGGTTTTCAAAGCTCTGCAGTCATTTATTTATTTATTTTTTATAATACCTATGGTCTAGGTTAACCCCAAACCTATCAGTTTATCACCATACTGACCTACCTTCATACTCTTATTATTTTGTTCTTTTCCATTCTTTTTTTGTTTGTTTGTTTGTATATTTAGGATCCTAAAGGTAATTCATTTCAGAAACACTGTTATTTCCTGAAATTCTCTTTTCATCCTGATGGCTATGAATACATTAAATGCACTGACAACAAAGAAAAAAAAACATCTGTAGCAGCAGCAGGACTGAAACAACCCTAATCAGTAATTTTCCTTGGTCCAAGCAAAACTATTGGACTACTGGATAGCCTGTCTGTCTGTCAACCTAACTACTTGTACACACTGGGTGAGCCAAGAGTCCCCCACCAGGCCAGGCAGGCAGATCTGTTACCACTCTGCTTTTACAGCTAAAGCTAGTGAGCTATGGCAAAGAAAGTGAGAAGGTATCCACAGCAGCTTTCGGTCACAAACCAAGACCATATTCGAGAAAGTTACAACTAAAATTAAGTTCAAGAAGTAAAACCAGAATTAATATTGGTAGAAATGATACAACAAAAGGGGCTGAAAGGGGGGTTGTTATTTTCCTGAAACCCTTAGCATTTGCCAACATAACTTTTATGTACTGTATATACTAGCCCAATGCTACTGTTTCACTGCCATGTTCTTTGTTTACAATCATTAGAGCCATGATAATACTTTGAGATGCTGTGCTCCTCTTCTCAACACACTCTCTTGTGGAAAAAAAATCTTCCTCAGTAGTCAGGCAGTGCACGTTCATGTGTTTTGGAAAGAAGTCAGAACAAAAAGGTGAGATTTTTTCAGTTGGCTACTTTTAAAACCAAGCTTCCTCTTACTGGTTTTCTCAGGAACAACTATACCTTAATTATAAATGGTCGTTGCTGGGCAGGGTAAAAAAACTATTTCTAACCATTTGGAAATAAATCACAAGACAGCATCTCCAATAAAATCTGTGTCAGCAAGGGGCTGTTTCCCCCCACTAATAAAAACCTCCATCACTATCCCCACCTCAGCACCTTGGTAAGGCGCTCTCTTCCAACAGTGGAAGGAAAGCATGTTTACCAGATCCTCCATGCAAGCTGCCAATCAAAGCCTTGTTTGCTT